GAACTTATACAGAGTGGATTTCTAGGAGTCCTTACAGGAAACCATAATCTTTGATGTCATGTAATTCAGAACTGAGGACTAGTGGACCGATAATGGGCATTTTTTAACCGGAATATTAAATTTTACAACGGTATGTGATATACTCGACTGATTTTTAATAAAGCAAATTATTAGATCTGATTCTCAAGTGTAATACCTTGGTACAGGTTTTCTATAGCAAGAATATTTAAATTAATTGTCAGATGGTGGTTTTTAGCGGTATGATTGGTTTCACTTTGGATCACTAACTGACATTGGTTAAAACGCAATGATTACTAGACTGCTCTTTCTTCCTAGTTTGGGACTCTCCAGCAGTACGCATTCAAGACCCCAATGGGAATCCAACAGAAGACCTTTAAGTGGCAAGGTGAACTCACTGACGAATCAGTCACTGGAAAGGAATCAAATGACTCACGAATATATCTATCATGAATCTGCTGAATGGTTGGCAAGCTCATCTCGTAAACTTAAAGTCGTATGTACGTACTTTGAAGAGCCCTAAGCCAGGATGAAACAGTTGTCCAGTACTGTATGGTTTCCCGTGGTTTTCGAACTTATAACAGTTAGTTATATGACTTTAACACTTTTTATTAGTTATTGTCGATAAATGTTTTGGACCACTATTCTGTTCATATAGGAACTAATTACACTGCAGTGTCAAAGCAGCCGAATAACGTTTTAACACACTAATCTATCGGTGCACCCCATTATCAGAAAATTGATATATATATATATGTATGTTATCAGATTATTTTCAAACAAGGAGCATCGGTGGTACAACGCTAGAATGCTCGCCAACCACTCATGAGGTTCGGAGATTGCTCCTCGGCCGACTGGCAAAGAGGGAAATTCGGGCATTAGGCTAGAAACCCCACGTCGTAAAGGTAAACACCACTGTCACCGAAACTTAAAAGCTCTAAATTGAAGCTCTATGTTCCACTGGGAACGCAAAGGAAAAAATTTTTAAGCAAGCAGCTGATTGATTTCGCTTTGAATTTTTCTATATGTTGGCAATTACAGGTCCTTTATTAATCTAATAATAATAATAATGATTTACTTTATTCCAAAAACAGTACTTGTGATACAGAATGGAATTTTCAGCATTAATCACAATATTGCATCTAATTTCCTCAAATTATAAATAAAATTAATCACACAGAAAATTTTTCCACATTTACAATAGGGTTAATATAAAGAAAAATAAAAAACATGCAGCATTTAAATGGAAATAATAGTAATGATAGCAGCTAAGGTAATGACAATAATACAAGTGGAAATTGCCGTGGGCTTGTTTCACACAGTATTGTCAATGCGGTATACAAATCCTTGCATGATTAAAAATATTGAATATGATGTTCTCTTTACATGATATGGTGAGGGAAAAAACAAAGATGACAGCAGTCATAGAGATAAATTGGTGTTTGCAGCTATGAAAGTGAAAACAAAGAATCTAGTTATATTACTGGTTATAATTTTTGAGTGATATACATTGATGTATATACATGTGTCCATAATATACATACATATATATCCCACCAAGTTTTAAACAAGTTAAGATTGATTTAGTAACTTGATTTGACAACCGTAGAACATTGTATTCGAAGTTTGGTATACAACAATCAATATTGTGTGTTCCATATAACTTCGTACGGTATTTAACTGGATGAAATAGATGAGGGACCCTCATTTTTCTCTTCTTTCAGACAAAATACTGATAAATAACCTGTAATACTGTTACACAGGAGTGGTGAACTAAGTGGTTGTCAATAGAAACCTGTTGGTTATATAAAGGTGCAACTTATTAAGGTTATGGATAAGTTAAGCAGAAATATAAACTCAAGTTTGGTTTGTAGGGATTTGGTTGATTGGTTACAGGACTTCATCATGAGCTAACATTGGTTAGAGAACCATTGGAAAACCTGGGAGTACTGGACAGCTGTTTAGTCCTAGTTTGGGGTTCTTCAGCAGTACTCGGTCACCTGGGTTCGAACCCAGGACCTTCTGATTACAAGGCTAGCGAGCTCGTAGACCATTAAGCCACTGGGACCCGATCCGATGACCAGCCTATGAATTCTAACTTCTACCAGTTCACAACATAGCTTGACCACTAGCCAATGTCATCGGCGAGTATTTGTCCTCACAGCCGACCTGCTGCACCCTACTGGTCACGACTTCCCGCTAGAACTCCTGGTAACTACCTACATGAATAGGGACAGTCGCCAGTGAGCATCTCATTGATATTCAAGTACTGGTTCGAACCCCGGTGGGTGCGTACTGTGAAGAGTCCCAAACTAAGACGAAACAGCTGTCCAGTACTTCCAGGTTTTCCAATGGTCCTCTAACCAATGTCAGCTCATGATGAAATCCTGTAACCAAGAAATGTAAACATTTGAAGTATATTACTGTTTGTTTCAGTTATGCCAAGAGATTCCTACTACTAGTAGTAGTTTCTTTTGCATGTTATCCGATTACATTTATGAATTCTTCAGCCTGTTTATTACCCATTTTCTAAAGTGATTGTTTGTGGTTGGATTTGTGTTATTCTGAATTGTACTGATAATCAAAAACCAACAACCTCCCGTCACTTTGTATATGAAAAATGGCTGAAATTACCTCTTGTATTTTGTTATGAATCTGTATTTATCAGTCAGTGGATATTAGTATGTGAAATATCCTAACGAAAAAATGTTTTAATTTTTTATTTTCTAATTAAACAGAAAGTGAAAAAAGAAGGACCGTTATTTAATTCAAGTTACTAAAGTTAAGGTTACTTATGATACCGGTTAGCTAAGCAAGATAAAGACGGTTTTCATTAAACTATGTCTAACTCGCAGCTGGGATAAAGATGCCACAACCAGGATTAAAAAAGCAAGAGAGACCTTCATTAATCTGAAATCAGTCTGTAAGTCTTCTTCAGTAAGCATAAGGAACAACATTCTGATTTTCAGAATTGATGTAAGGTCACTCACTGCTCCGACATGGTTCCCAGACTTGACGCGTGTGTCACCGAAAGCTTTTCCAGAGGCCTGCTGCAGACCTTTATCAGTGGCTGTCTTCTTCCTGTATTGAAGCTCAGCTGGCAAGAAAAGAAGTGGCCACCTAGGAAGAGCTGTGGCAACAAACCAACCGAAAACCTGTTGCTCTACAAATATGTAAAAGAAAGTGGAGATGGATCGAAATTCACTAAGGAGAACGTTTGGAGACATCACACCTCAGTCCATTGCTCTAATGGAACGTGAATGGAAAACGATTTGCTGGGCATCCTAATGTAATATGGAAGAGATCAGGTGAGCAGGAGATGTAAGAAATCAAACATCAGGTCATCGAGTAGAACTCGGATGGGTAACGACGAGTTGGAAGTGTCCTCGAGGGTGACATGGAGGAGATGAGAGCTTATGGACAATCGTGCCGGTAGCCAGCTAGAGAAGACTGCAGAGAACAGGATGAAATAGAGATGTGCCCCTGAATCTCTTTGTTTCACTATGAACCCAAGGGATTAATAATATACTAATCTGAAATCTGTTCCTTTTTATCGATAAGAGAATTACAAATCAAAGTAAAAGCTAGCTAAGCGAATAAAGTACACCCACTGAATTCCGTTTTAGAAAAACAAATAGTCTTATTCTGGTGGTGACTTCATGCTGCCGAAAAATAGTTAGCAGAGTGAAATTTCTGATATTAGATTGTTGGAGGCAATTGGCATGAAGCCTTGAGTCTAGGTTTCGTGCCAGTTAGCACTCGTCAGCAAGGCGTATGTGCAACCTAGAAGAAACTCGTGTCCCTTCTGAGATTTGAACTCACGTCACCTGGTGTCACCTCCAGTCAGAGACGTTACCGCTTAGCTAGTCAGGCTTGCGATTGACCTCCTGTAGCACTGTATTGGATATTTTTCATGGGACACTAGTTAGTAACTAGTGTAATGTGTCTAGTCCTATCTTTAGTGAAGGCTGAATTCTACCAGTTAACGTTGCAGATACGCCTTGCTGATGGGTGCCAAATATCACGAATCCAAGGTGCTAGGCTTCCTGTCGATTTCCTTCCACCATCTAATACTAACAACTCACAGTGCAGCGTAATGGTGAGCCACCTTGCATGGTGGCCACAGTGCAAGCTTGATTGATTGAATTTAGTTTGCACCAAAGATAAGACTACGCATACAAATAACACTAGTTACTGACTAGTGTTCAGTCAAACGGAGTGAAATTCTGTCTCTCGTGTCTTATCCGTAAATACCGATTATTGAACTAGGGCCATGATACAAAAAGACCAGTGGAGAATGAGCAATTTACAAATCTGAATATATCAAATCTTTCTGAACATTCACAAGGACTATTTGTAATTAGGTTAATTTGCATTTCCTGTTGATTGATTATGTTGAACTGGTCTCCGTCGACATATCAGTTCCTAGTACGGATGCTTTGACGATATCTAAGGAATAACGCACACTTATTTTGGTTGATAGTGACTAACAATGGAATCCATAAGATACACATTTCGCCCTGTTTTTGAGGTCATCTCGTCATCTGCATGTGTCTGCATTCTCTGTCAGTGAGTGATGGTGTTCCCAATAAAACTTGAACCTTGCATCCTTCCTTTCAAACATCCAAGCATTATCTACTAGACGACAAGCACTTCGGTACGATATAATCATCCGTTGCACAAGAAGTAGCTCTCGTGGCCCTTGAGGCCTAGAGAATAATGCTTTGGAGCCTGAGACGATGGCCGTAGGGTTCGAGCCTCAGTTAAGAGGAATGATTTGATTAGAATAAAAATATTCATAGATAACTGTTTGATTATTTAAATATTCACTTGAATATCAATCTTAAAAAGCTGTTGAAATCAATATATATGAATTAGTGTGTATAGCATCATTCCCTAAGTTTTTTCGGTTGAAGTGTAGGCTAGAAAATGCTATTTTAGAAAACACACTTTGACATTATTTGTTCATTTTTAAAACTTACGTTCTATTAAATGACCAGTATGAAGTAAAATACTGTAATCATTAGACTTGTAATTTTCATCCAAACTACTTGGTCCTGAAGGAACTAGTGAAACAGATACTGGAATGCGTGTTGAATACATTGTCACATCATCTGACTGATGATCAGATTTTATTGAGGTACTAGTAAATAATAACGGTGTTAGTCGGCAGTTTTCATCTAAGTAAGAAAAAAATATAGAAAACAAATAAAAAAATGAATGTGTAAATTATGGTATTTTTATTCCAGAAATGATGACGAAATCAAATACTTTCTGGTTTTAAAAGCGTTGCATTTAAAGTTAACGAAGAACATTCTCTTTGGACATTATTCAAAAGAGCAGTCACTCTCATCAAATCAAGACTTACTGGTACTCGATTTCCTAAGGCTACATAGTTGGAAATCTGTATGTCTGCTTCTGTACTTTGTTACCACAATGGGATTAAAAAGTGCTTAGCTTTTATTGATGAGATTATAGAATACACCATGGATTAACTCCATCTATCTATCTATCTACATCAATCAATAAGTGGGTTGTCTGATGAAGCAAAGATATCTGGATAGATTTTTACGAATGAAGTTATGGGAACAAAGAACTGCCAGCTGGTCACCCCTTATGAATGAACATTATGTTGTCTAATTTTCCCTATATTCGAAAGGATCTCAGTCGTCCGACTGTATGCGAATTAAAGGAATGTTTGTCTTAAGCAGAATTTAAGCGGTGAATCTAGGTTGTATGAATTAGCTAGCACTGAAAGTTTTTAGCTGAGAAGACAGTATCGAATTTATGATTGACAAACATATACAGACAAGTCCCCCACCAGTTATTTGAGTCTGAAAAGCTCCACCAGTTATTTTGTAACTGAAGCATCTAACGATCAGATAGAGGGTTATTAAAATGCATTGATTTGATTACCTTGTGAAACCAACAAGTATAAAACGTATGGTCACAGCTTTCAGTTAACTATTTTTGAATGTTTAACCTTAATAATAAGATTATGTCTGTGATAAAACTTATCAGTGGAACTCACTGATAGCAGACAAACTGTTCTGGTGAGGTCTTCTTCTGAAATCAGATAAAATAGCCATTCTGAATGATTGTAATTCTGGCTTGAAAATGATTACACCCTCGGTGAATAAGAGTTTATAATTAAAATTTAGATTATAAACAATAAAATGTTAATTTCTACGAATAATTTAGTTTACTATTGATGATGAAATAGCATCATGAAAATTGTTCATTTAATGACAGTATATGCTATATTACTTTATGAGTAGTTTCAATTATTGAGCTGCTTTTCATTTCAATGTTCGATCTGACTAGCAAAATGAAAAGTTAACTATTATTTCTACTAGAAGGGAATACTGTTCATACTTTGTATTTGTAATAATTGCAGCAAATGTTCTGGTCAGACAGATGCCATAGGAACAGAAGTCTTTAATCGATTAGAAATTTTAAAAGACTGGTCAATGAACCAAGAATATTCTTTTCGATAAAGTCGTCATCAGAGCCTACATTTAAATGACTACAGTAATTAAAGAATTATTATTATGGACACCATTATTGTTCTAAGTGACTTTAAACCAATAACGCCAACAGATTACATCTGATGCTTACTAGCAACTGGCCCTATACAAGAAGTTACCCGGAGTTCTAGTGAGAAGTAGTGACGAGCAGCACCAACTAAGTCAGTTAACAGAACAGTTAATCGTCTATTTCACTGGCTATATATCGTGATTTGGTGGAAGTTGGGATTCATAGGCCATCGGGTTGGGTTTCAGCGACTGAATGATCCATGAGCTTGCTTTGTGACCAGATGGTCCGCGGTTTGAACCTCGGTGAATTTGTACTGCTGAATAATCCCAAACTACAACAAAGCAGAATTTATGATTTTACAGTTTCGACAGTAGGCCCGGGTATCAATAGCTCCTGACCTGTGTTCCAGTTGATTTAGGTGAATTGAAATGGCCTCCGCTTTTCGGAATGACCGCTTTCTAGAGGCCCTTGATAGTTCATTCGATACCAGACAGAAAGTAGAGAAGGACTTTTCAGTATTAGCTTTGTGTTCTGTTTGGATGACGTGATCTAATATAGAACTGTTGATAGTTTTAACTACAATTTTGTATAGCCTTTAAGACAATTTATCAATGAAGATGAACAGAAAAGGAAAGTCTTCGATAAGCCACTCACCACTAAGAGTTGGAATATATACGTCATATAACATAATTTATTCCAACTAATTGTTACAAGACATTATGTGGGCATCTCGACTTTCAGTAATGCTTTATGCCGAGTCGTTAGTTATTGTTTTATTCAAGCATCATATTACCCAAGCATTAAACTGGTTTATTTACTTTCAAACAGACAGCGTCTATTGCTACATTTTGTCTTTCATTCGGTAATATTTTTCTGTTTAATTCATTTTATAATTTTTTTCTTGTGAATATTCTTCATTTTCGTTATTTTTTGTCGCCTTTCATAGACTGCTTTGTTTTACCGCTATTCATAAAGACAGTCCTTTATTTTGAATTCAAAGTGTTATTAGAACTTTACTATTACTCAAAGAGTTCTTATAAAATAAAGAAACTGTACAAACGATCTTTTTTGGCTTTGCTTTTATCGAAAAAAGACACATCGGCTGACTCGCTTCCCGAAAGCTTTTACCCTCCTGTATAATTCCGTCTTTTAGATTCCAGCGAAGAATAAGTTTGTTTTTTATATTTGTGTTGCGCTTTGAATCTCCTATTGCCATTGTATTGATTTTCTGGGCTAGGATTGCTAGTACCACGCAGAAATCTCCCTGTTTTCCTGGGCTCAGGACCCAATAGAAAAAGAGCGAGCTACTAGACCAGGCGACGTCTGGAACAGCGTCAACCGCGAAGTAATTTGAAAACTACTTCAACAATATGGAGTGCCATGAACCCATTCAAAGGCTATACGACAATGCCACATGTAAAGTGATCTACAGTGGAGAAGCCTACGAAGTGAAGGCAGGAGTAAGGCAGGATCACCCACTGTCAACAATGATATTCGTAAATGTGGAGGACTGGATTGTGCGTCAGACTGTGGAGAGTTGGAAAACAGGAATATATCAGACCGATAAGAAGAATCTAGAAGGTGTGGATTTCTCAGATGATTTATGTTTAGTGTCACTCAGACTCGAAGACTTGCAGGCCAAAACTGACAAACTTGCTGAAAGAGCAGGCTGTGAAGACAAGACTCCAGGTGAACATAGAGAAGATGAAGGCGATGAAGGTTATCAACCAACATCAATAACACCCAGCACCAATCGCCATCAACAGGAGTAACTTGAAAGAGATTACTTCCTTCTCTTATCTATACAGCAGAGTTTCAATTACAGGCATACGGCGAAGACAAAAATGTCAAAGCCAGAATGGGAAAGACAAGATACACCTTCATCAATCCAAAATCAATTTGGAAATCTACTGCACTCAGCAGAAAGAGCAGTAATCGGATTTACGACACAAATGTGAAGTCAGTCAGTTCTTCTATATGGTTCAGAAACTTGGAGTGTCACGTAAATCACTTCCAACAAGTTACAAACTTTTATCAACAACTATCTTCGCTAGCTCCACACTGAAGATCAAATGGCCTGTCAGATAGAATTGGCTACAAGAATCTCTAGCTAGGAGCAAACCAACCAAGAGTCGATTGTTCAACAGATATGTGGGACACACACTGAGGAGACCAGCAGTTGACATCGCTCGCCAGCCCCTTGAGTGGAAGGTGAATAAGAAACAACGAATTCGGCATTAATCCGGTGGTAACATAGAGTAGATCGTGTGAGGAGGTAATGGGTGGGACTGAAGAGAACAGGCTGAAATGGATTTTTTTGAAGCCCACTGTTCCACTTGGGCCTCAAGGGAACAATTATAATACAAATGTTCGTATTCCGTGGTGATTCTGCAAACATATGACGCTGTTGACTGAACACTTAGAATTTACTTTTCTCTTAAATATCTGAATTAATCTAGTGATGGATTAATGAAATCCTACACAAGTGAATACCATGTGAAAATCAGTGACATAATTGAGCCAGCAGTGAATTTGTAACCGTTTGGCACTATAACTGGTGTAATAGTGATCAGGTGCTTTCATATATGCTACGGGGAATCATGAAATTAGTTACATCAGTGAATAAGGTCTATGTATGCCACAAGTAGTGTTACTTATTTCGTCAGTTAATTTTAAAGTTGGCAGCACTATATTTAATGATATCCAATTAACAACATCCAACCGTATTTCTCGTGCATTTCATTTGTTGTTAATTTCCATTACTAATGGCGAAAAATTACCTTTCATTTCACCAAAAATTTTCTATCTTTCCATCTTTCCTCATCTTCTCCTCCCCCTCTCCATCTATGATGATATAATGTAACTTTCTAATAATAAAATGTCTAAATAGGAAAAAAATGACTAAATGCTCTTTTAATCCTTTCTTCAATTTCAACATTTTCAAGTGATTATTGATTTTTCCTGATGAAACACAAGGCAGCAGGGAAAAGGAGAATGGTATTCAAAAAGGGATATGATAGAATGATCGATTACCGACATCATTAAATCATATTCTCTCATGAAAACGTTTGAATAAAACTGTAAAAAAAAAGCGTGACGAAAACTAAAATGTCACTTCAACGAAATATGTATGAATGATAGAGGGGAAATGATTTTCTCCTTTCCCTTAATTTAAAATCGCATATCTATTATATTCCAGTTGTATGGAATAGTTTGACTCTCTTCATATGGATTTTTCAAAAGTGATATTTTTGTAAGTTACTGAGTTCAGGATTGAGATTAAGGTGAGTACCACGTTACTGGAGTGCTCAGGATTTTTCTCTGAGAAGAACCCTTAGCCTAGGTGTAACTTTTGTTTTAAAATAATGCTCAAAGAGCTTTAACAATGCTCAATGTCTTGTGTTTAAATACCAAACGCCTATATAAGTCATTAATATCTGATAATGTTCATATAATATAATTAGAAATATCCCGGTGTTTCTGTCAGGATAGTAACTCAAAAGAGAGTGACTTCTAAACATCGAAACTTCTAATACTTTCTTCAAAGTTCCTGCAGACTTCTGTTTTATATCCACTTATAGGTTTTGCTTACATCAGGTATAAGACAAGTGAATGTTATGTGTTTTCTGCAAAAAATACAACA